ACATCATGGCCTCGAACTGCGGGCGACTCGTGAAACACCGGGCGTCCTCGGGGGTCCTGTTTTGCATTGTACGGTGTGCAATATATGTTGTGCAATATATAGATGGTGCAAAAGATGTGGCTGCACAACATGTGTTGTGCAATATATGTGGTGCAACCTGCGTTGTGCAATAGCAATAAATGTTGAGAGCGATAAAGAAACAAACAGAAAAAACAAACGCCGCAAGCGCGTTTTTTGTCGTGCAATCTACGCGGTGCAATCCAGCGTCGGCGACGGCGGGCAACCTTCATTCTGAGGACGACGGCGGGCGACCTCTCTCCAGTGTCGCGCTGGGCACTCGGCACAGCGATGGGGATCAATGAAGGCTTCGCCAGCCTCGTCGATGACCGCCGCCACCACAAACCTGCGATTCGACGATGCCCACGCAAGCCCAAGCTCGTTCAAACGAAGCAGCTCCCTATCTCTGACATGCTCCGAAATGCCCGAGTCCGCCCTGACCTCCGCCCCCTCCTCGAAGTACCGCATGCGAACCTTGCCGGCGAGAACTTCACGAAACGCCCCAGGGCGAACCAATCCAAGAACTTCCCCATCATGATAGCCCCTCAAGCTAGCACGGGCACGCAGTGCCCGACGAACGACAGCCCATTCCCGACGAAGATGCCCTCGAAGAAGGGCCAGCATCCGAGACGCCTCCTCCGCCATCGACACGGGGCCCTCAATCTCCTCAATATTCCTAGTCATGGCGGCGGCCTCATACATGGCGCCCCTCAGGCCGGCGGGCCTGGCACGCGGCTCCTCGCCCACATCAAGCGCGAAAAACAACTCGCGAACACGCGCTTGAAACAGTGGGTGGCGGCTGACCCATTCCGGAATGGCAGGCCCTCCCCTGCCTCCGCACGGTCGAGCGAAGAGTAGCAAATACTGGCGCATGGTCGCTCGGAATCTTCCCACTGTTGATGCCCCGAAGGGCCCCAGAGGTCGGTGGAAGATGATGGAGGGAAGCCATGGGAATATTATACTAACTTCTGGCCAAGCGGCCAAGAGAGATCAGCGTGCTGAGCTGCATATGATTGCGGGTGAATTCGGACTGGGCGATCTCAATCAGCCCAGGCAGCACAGCGTGAAAATGTCGAGCAAGCGAGTCCTGGGCAGGTTCCTGTCTGCCAGTCGCCGCAACAAGCCCCCTCCCCCACCCCCCGAGAAGTTAAAGTCCCCGCCGACCCCAACAGTCGTGGCATTATCGGCGCACTGTCGCGAGCCCACCTTGGAGAGGATCGCCTTTTGCGCGGGCGCGGAAAGTTCGGGGCTCACATGGACTTTTCGGAATTCGAAGGACTGGCTTTAGGAATTCAAAGGACTAGCCTGGCGAAGGCCTCAGCCATGTGCAGTTGTGAATACCGTCGTCGTTGGTATTGCCTTCGGTGGATCTCCTTCTTATGGGGCCACAAAACGTGTGAGGGGTGTTCCAAGATGGGGCGGCGCCGCCATGCGGACTGCGCCACTGGGGCCTTAGGTGAACCTCCCTATGGAGCCACGAAGCGTGTTAGGGGTGTGCCAACATAGGGCGGCGCCGCCGTGCGGACTGGGACCTTAGGTGGAGCTTCCCATGTAGCCACAAAACGTGTGAGGGGTGTGCCAAGATAGGGCGGCACCGCCATGCGGACTGCGCCTGTGGGACCTTAGGTGAAGCTCCCTCTGTAACCACGAAACGTGTGAGAGGTGTGCCAAAATGGGGCGGCGCCGCCATGCGGACTGCGCCACTGGGACCTTGGGTGGAGCTCCCTATGGGGCCACGAAACGTGTGAGGGCTGTGACGCAGACGATGGCGATTGTGGTGATGTTGACGATGATGATGATGATGATGATGATGATGATGATGATGATGATGATGATGATGATGATGATGATGATGATGATGATGATGATGACGATGATGATGATGCTGATGATGATGATGGCGATGATGATGATGGTGATCATGATGATGATGATGATGATGATGATGATGATGATGATGATGATGATGATGATGATGATGGTGATGGCGATGACGATGATGGTGATAGTGATGATGATGATGGTGATGATGATAACGACGACGATGATGGTGATAGTGATGATGATGATGATGATGATGATGATGATGATGTTGATGATGTTGATGATGATGATGATGATAATGATGATGATGATAATGATGATGATGACGAGAGGAGAGGAGAGGAGAGGAGAAGGGAGGGGGCAGCGGGAGGAGGAGAGGAGGGGGGAGAGACGCGGGGCGCTGTCTCTTCAAAACGAGGACCCAACACCACAGGATGGTTGGGAATGAGTTCAAGAAAACAGCTTTAAACCAATATCTGCCAATTCGAAAACAAAATGTCTTTCATCCAAGACATATATTTTTGATACCCAAACAACACTCCAATGCCAGTCACAAGACAAACGCACACATCAGCACCCGGGCCACGCGGTACAGGCTGGCATGCTCAAGCCGGCGAAGCTGGCGGAGAATCCGCCATCCCAACAGCCACAACCTGAGCGTAAAACAGAAGTACCCCCGAGGGAGCAGAAGAGGCGGAGGCGGGGCCGAGGCGGGGCGGAGGCGAAGGAGGGCAGCGCGCGAGCCTCGAGGGAGAGGTTCGAGGAAGAGGCCGAACGACCACATGTCATAGATCGGAAGAGCGCGAGCCTCGAGGAAGAGGCCTCCTCCTCCTCCTCCTCCTCCTCCTCCTCCTCCTCCTCCTCCTCCTCCTCCTCCTCCTCCTCCTCCTCCTCCTGCGGCGCGAGCCTCGACGGGTGGGGGGCGGCGCGCGAGCCTCGAGGAAGAGGCCGACCACATCGGCCTGGTCGCGCTGGGCCGCCAGCAGCGTGGGCCAGTCTCCCCCGGCCTCCGCCTCAAGGAGGAGCCAGGACACGGCACAGGCGCAACACTTTCGGAGGCCCTTGCGGACTTCTTGCCTGGACGCCAGCACTAGAAGACGAAAAACGCAGTGCGAGCCACGGCCGGGCCGCTATTCCGAGGCATTTCTGGAGTTTCTGGAATTTCTGGATTTTCCGCGAATTTTGGGAATTTCATGAATTTCTGGATGTTCTGGATTTCCTAGGAATTTCTGGAATTTCTGGAATTTCTGGAATTTCTGGAATGTCTGGAAAATCTGGAATTTGTGGATTTGCGCTCTGCACGGGTTTCTTGGATTTGCGCTGGACCCCCCTCCCTGGCGTGCGGAGCGCGCGCCAGGAGTGGCGCTGGAGGTGCCGCCACAGGGGAGCCCAGGCGCGGATCCAAGAAGTCCGCGCGAAGCGCCAAAAGTTTATGTCCACTGCGTTTTGTCCTTCCGTCGACGAAATGGGTACGGAAGAAATGGGCACGATGCTTGCAATAGAAGAAGAAAAAAGCCATCCCTGACCTTCCACGAGGACTGAAAAAATATCACGCGACCTAAAAACCAATCCCAGAGCTATTAGATGTCTTGGTGTTAGGCTGTTTCGTTTAGTGTTTTAGGTTTTTAGGCCTCCAATGCTAAAAAATGGCTCTCTGGAAGGTCAGGAATCAACATAAAATTCTTGCGCTCCGCACGGGCATCTCGGATTTGCGCTGGACCCCCCTCCCTGGCGTGCGGAGCGCGCGCCAGGGGTGGCGCTGGAGGTGCCGCCACAGGGGAGCCCAGCGCGGATCCAAGAAAAATCCGCGCGGAGCGCCAAAAGTTTTATGTTCATGGCGTTTTTTCTCCGTCGACGAAAGGGGTACGGAAGAAACGGGTACAGTCGGGGCCTTGACCTAAGGAACCCTAAATAAGGAACGAGACCCCTTTTTTTCCATAAGTTGACCTTCGATTTCCGATCTAAAACATAAGGGGAACCTGAGGCAAGCTGCGAAACACTTAAGGAACGCGGAGCCCCTCCCCAACGAAAAGGGTTCCTTCTTCAGGGCCCCGACTGTACGATGCTCAACAACAAGTGTTGTCCAAAACCGACAGCGGCCGCTGTTGGGCAGGCGGCCCTCTGTCTCAAACGAACTACAACCACCCCGCGACGCCGACAGCAATCCAGTTCAGAATGAACAGCGACTGCTGCTGGGCTTTGTACCCATCGTTTCCGTACCCATTTCGGTCTCCCCGATCTTGGATCTGCGCCCGACCCCCTCCCCACACCTGCACCAGGGGTCCCGACACGGTGTGGCGATCCCGAAATCCCCAAAACACGGTGCGTCACTGCACCGTCTCGGGACCCTGGAGGCCCCAGCCGCCCAAGACGTCCTCGGAACACGATCCGAGTCCCAGACCAAGCTGACTCACCACAGGGAGGGGTCACCGCACTGTTTTCGCATCCCCGACTCCCAACACCCTCTCCCCGGCGCGTGGGGCGCGCCAGGGGGCGGCGCCGGAGGCGTGGCCGGCGGTGGCGGGGACGGGGGCCTGGCGCTGACGCGGCGGCCCAAGAAATCCAAGCGAGCCTCCGAGAGTTGATGCGTTGCCTCGGCGTGCTCAAAGAGCACCCCCGCCGGGCGCGCTCTGGCCACGAGGCAACGAAGCCGCCCCCGAGAGCGATCCGTCCTCCCACGCCACGCGGCCCACTCCTGCCTCCTGACCCCCCATGCGATCCTTGGGAAGCCAAGAGATACCAGTGCCGCTACCCACTGGATCTGACCCGGGGCGCACCCTCTGACCAGGACATTCCGAGGCGAAAGAATGCCGCCGTGGCGACCAGGGCCTCCCCCCGGAGGCACAAGAGAAGCGACAACGAGGGCAGGGCAGCGGTGTCGGTACCTGTTGACCTCCGGCGATCTTGAACCACTTGTAGGGGAACGAAACCTGACATAAACAGAAATGTTCGGAGGTCCGCGCGGCTTTCTCGGATCGGCGCTGAACCCCCTCCCTGGCGCGCTCCGCGCGCCAGGGGCGGTTCCGGAGGCTCCGCCAAGGGGTTCCAGCGCGCATCCGAGAAATCAGCGCGGACCTCCGAGTTTTTCTGTTTCCGTCACTCTTCGTTCCCTTCACTTG